ACATACAGAACATTCAGACAATTTCTTTATAACTTATGTCCAGAAAAGAAGCAAATTATAAGAACACATTAAGAATTAAATAAAAAAACTGATCTAATGGAATAACCTGTCACCCCCATGAGTGACTACACTATAGGTAGTAACTACCTATAAGTATCTGTAAGTCAATGGACTACAGAGTCTAGCTGGGATCTATTCCAGCTAGACAGTTGAACTCTCTGACTTCGGGCAGAGAGGAACCTGGACAAGGCTCCGCTGAAGGGCAGAGTCTCGTTTGAGGAGGTAGACTGACCCTGAACCCGTTTATACTGGTTCAAAAAAGGAATATTTTTGGCTGAGCCTATGGGCTCGGAGAACCCACGTTAAACTGGCCTTGTGCCACATGCAACCCTCATTGTGGGGTAGCTAAATATACTAGTTAGGATCTGTTGAGTGTGACTCAGACTTACACAAGAACTATCAACCTTCCAATAGTAACCCACGTTAAACTGGCCTTGTGCCATATGCAGCCCTCATGGTGGGGTAGCTAAATATACTAGTTAGGATCTGTTGAGTGTGATTCAGATTTACACAAGAACTACCAATCTTCCAATAGTAGCACTCACTACTGGATTGACTTGCAGTGACCTTGTGCATAACTTTTACCTTTATTCTTATTGTACTGGGTTTTTTTTTACAATAAACCTTTACTTATTTTACCCACCTTGTTTTTCAAGTATATATTCCTATTAGCATGGAATATAAGAAAAACTTACAGTTTCCTAACTGAATTCTGCATGTCTCAGTTCATATGTGCTGGACAGCCTGCAACATACACGGATGCCACTTTCAATTTTTTATTGTAAGCCAAGCCATAATTAACTCTATTATCAGATGTTATTTCCCAATGTAAATTTCTGCCTAATGCTAAGTAAATTATATTTGTTTCAGTTTACAATGACATTCTCTTTCTTTTAAATTTTCTTAAAAAAAGACTTCTGCTTTTTAAATTTATTAAATGTTTCATATCAAATAATCTGTTAAACATGAAACTGTATAATATTTACAATAATGAAATACAATAATGAAATACAATAAATATGTGCATTGAACTTTTACAAGATTTTCGTTATTTCAGTTTGTTGAAGGTGACTTATTCCATTGTTATGGAAATATAGCATATGTCTGCTTTGAATATCTTTCATTACTGATGTAATAGAATAACCTGTCACCTTAAAACCTGTGATTACAACAATTTTAGTAACTACCTAAAAGTGACAAAGAAAAATGAAACAGAATCTAGCTTTGGGATCTTTTGAATACAATTCAGACTTAAAAAGAACTAACCAATCTTCCAATATCAGAAAATAAAACTAATGGATTGAATTCAGTGAACCCAGAATAACGTTACTTTTATTTCTTATTGTACACTGTTCAAATTCAATAAACTTTTTTAGCTTAATTTATATGTAATTTTTTCAAATAT